AGCCTTTAATTCTCACTACCGCACACTGCATTTTTATACATTTCTCACAGTACATTTTTATATTTCATCTGCCTCCTCTTTACCATGGCATTTTGTATTTTATATTTTATACTTTTAAACCCTTAAGGAATGTACTCCATGTAGAATGCAGTTACACCCTGGACCACTGTTGAAAACTGCATTGAAAATGTAATTGTAAAGTGATGAAATCTGTTATATTGGGCTGGTCCCTTGAGTGAATGCAAGTATGTATGAGCCAGTAGGACAAAGCAAGAGCCTCTGGCTGTTAATTGACAACAGCGTAGCCAGAGAAACTTACCATTACAAAACTCTATTTTACAAGCCATTTTAAGCTAATAAAGCCAAAGAACTGATTCCTGGAACCTGCAAGACACAGCCATTGAGTCAATGAAGTCAAGGGTGGACTCCCAAAACTGCACCATGGGGCAAAACCCCCAGTGACTGTGACTAACAGCTGTCGTACACTACTCAAGACCTACGTGGGACAGCAACCTCCAGATTGGGCAGCCAAGATGATGCTGGGGGATCACACAAGTCTGCCAGAAAGGGATGAAAGGCAGTGAAGCATGACCCTCGGGGCACCCCCTCATCCAACCTACCAAGATAGAAGGACAAGTAGGCGACCCCCTTCTGGAGAAGATACCACCCTGGAGGAAGCTGACCATCGACAGCAGATCTGCAGGGCCTCAGATAGGTAGATATATTAACACCAGTGCTCCCACAATCACTACAGCTGCTACTATATGCTATACTACATGGGTCTGAATGAGTGAGTGCATGTGTGTATATGTGTTAAGGTGACCAGTACCCATCATAACACCCCAGAATTTACATTTATAATTTTATTAAAGCTTCACACCACATCTAATAAACTAGAATTTATAACGACCTTGTGAGTTGGTCCTTTGTAGCCTACAAAAGGAGTCAGCAACTCGGCGGAATTATTATGTAATAGTTTTGCAGACACGACAATTCTATTTAATAAAAATATTTGACTGCAATATTTCATTAAAATTGAAAGGTACTGCATAGCAACTGTAAGAGGTTGGCAGCTGCCAAGAGCCGTGATGTTATTGAGTAGAATAACATGTCTGGAGCCCTGCCTGGAGTTGACAGAAAACTTGATTCCTATTCATACATACATTACAATATACCCCCAAACTGAAAAAATGATTTAATTCCATCAAGAACACATGATAACACGTCAGACTAAGAACGAGGGGTGCACCAATAGATTTTTGAGCCCATATCAATGGCCAATTTTTAATGAGCCATATTGGCCAATACTAATCTGATTGCTGATACGTGGCCGGGCAACATGAAGAGCAACAACCAACTGGTAAGTCTTTTGGTGGGGGGAAGGGACAAGGGAAGGTGCATGGGAGAGGCAGATCAAATGCCCGCAGTGAGGGAGGGAGTGGAGACGGGGTAGGGGCAGGCGATGCCCAGCAAGGGTGGGGCAGGGCGTGGGGTGGCTTCTGCCGCTGCATGCACCCCAGGAAGGCATATGCTCTCCAGATCTTTGTTCAGGGTGAGGGCAGGCTGCCACTGCAGGCTGGGGTCAGGGACGGCGCCAGGCTCCTCCTGGTGTGGGGTCTACGCTTGGCATGGGTGGTGGCGGTGCTGGAAGGGGGAGGTTCAGGGAGGCTTCGGCGAATTTTTGAGGTGGCCACAGCCTCCTCCATAGGTCCCCCACCCCAGCACCACTGCCCACCCCAAGTGCAGCCTGTTCCAGACTCCTCCTCCCCCACCGGGAAGAGCCCAGCGCTGCTCCTGGCCCCAGTCTGCAGTGGCAGTCCGCCCTTGCCCCATAAATAGATCCAAGGGGCACCCTGCCCTCATCCCGTGCACCCCTTCTAGGGTGCATGCAGCAAGGGTGGAGCCCCCAGAAGAGCTGCGGCTCCACCCTGTCTCACCCTGGCTGTGCAGTGCCTGCCCCAGCCCCACTCCCTCCCACACTGTGAGGGCCTTAATCTGCCCTCCCATACCTCTTCCTTCCCACCACACGCCCTCCCCTCAACAGACTTACCAGCCAGACACTGCTCTCCATGCTACCAGGCTGAACTCCTGACCATCTGCATGCTGCGCTGTGGCTGTGCACATGCACACAGCATTTAATCGGCAACGTTATCAGCCAAGAAAAGCCAATTGCCAATAATGTCAATTTTCCTTTTATTGGTGACGATATGACATGGGACTGATATACCACTGCCACCCTACTAAGAACCATTTATATCAATCCGCAACTGAATTTAAAAAAGAAAGACTGCTTATCTTTAGATAATGCTTTTCAGTTTGTCTTTTAAGAACTATATTCTTGGGGATGCAGGTCTTTCTTCCATGAGCTATCAGGCTACAAATGCATTCTTGCTTTGATCCAAAGGTCGATAGGCGGGCAAACAAAACTGGGGTGCCTATACACATGCTCTGATGCATTCTAATTAGAGAATCAGAGGAGACTCAAAACAAAAGTTTAGCTAAAGTGCCCCCACCACCATTTTGAAACACAGGATGCTGAATACATCCGACTGAGGCATTTAGTTAGAGCAGCTGTCTGAGAGCTGCTTTAATTAAAAATCCGCCCCTGCCTCCCCGCCTCCAAACCTGAACCATGGGTATAGACACCCTAGGTGCCCTATTTCTTTCCAGTACTTCAAAGAAAGTCAAGAAGTTAATGTCTGAAGAAATTCAGAAAGTGCAGAAACTAAGCATCTGGAACTGGGACCTGTGTACAATAATGATTAAATCGGCCCCTGACTGGTTCTCCAACCTTAGGCTGAAAATTCTGATGATTAGCTATTTCCGCTTACTCTCTTCAATCTTCTCTTCGTTCTCTTTATTTAATCCTTGCTCCACCTCCTGTTGGTGGCCTCCTTTTTTCTTATCTTTCTCCTTTAATAATACCCTTTTGTATCCCTTTTTCAGCTAATCCTGTCCTAGCAAAATCCCAGCCAAACAGTTGAAAAGAAAGAACAAATGCATGATCAACTAACCTACAAAAAAAAACCTGGAAGCTTACAGGGCATCATTCTCTTTTCCCTGTATATCTTCTCTCCCCAGTCCATTGCCTGTCTTTTCTATTTAGGTCATATCTCAAAAGCTTTACAACACAGCTGGACAATTATTTCAGCTGGAGGGCCACTTAATGAGTTCTGGTGACCTGTTGAGGGCCACATCCATCTCTCTCTCTCTCTCTCTCTCTCTCTCTCTCTGTGTTTCAGCCTCTCTGTCCCCCTCCTGCACTCTCTCCTTCCATAACCCAACCAGAGCTATAGTTCACCAGGAGCCCCAACACACGTCTGTGGATCCAGATGGGGACTTCCGCTGTGGCAGGTGGGTGGTGGTGTCAGCTGCAGGCACAGCCGGCAGGTTCCAGAGCCCCAACATGGAACCTGCTGGCTGTGTCCACAGCTGACACTGAAGCCTACTTAGTGCAGCAGAAGCTATGGCCTGGGTCCACAGCTGACTTTGTCAGCAGGTTCTGGGTCAGGGCCCTGAGCAGGAGCTTCCGCCATACATGGAGGGCATCAGTGTCATGTGTGGATCAGGTTCTGCATTAGGGCTCCTGAACCTGCTAACAGTGTCCGTGGTTGATGCCACCACCCGCCCACTATGGCAGAAGCCCCTGACTGGGTTCCACAGCTGATGCCACCACATCAAGAATTGATGTTGCTGGGTGGAAGTAGTCATAGCTGCCCACCCAGTGCAGCAAAAACAGCCCAGCACACCCACCTGGCAGCATAGTTTCATAGTTTCATAGTTTCTAGGGTCGGAAGGGACCTGAGCAGATCATCTAGTCCGACCCCCTGCCTTGGCAGGAAGAGCACTGGGGTCAAATGACCCCAATAAGGTGGTCATCCAACCTCCTCTTAAAAACCCCCAGGGTGGGAGCCTGCACCACCTCACATGGAAGCTGCAGCATGCGGCAGCCAAAGTCAGAGCCACCTGCTCCCCATGAGCCAGATCCAGTGAGTTAGTGGCAGCCTGCCTGCACGCTGGATTGAATCTGTTGGTGGGCCAGATCCAGCCCGTAAGCCATATTTTGCACATTCCTGATTTATAGATCACCTCTTACTATATGTTTGTTCAGTGTGTAGTACTATGGGTTTCCAATCTTGATTGGGGTGTCAAAGTACTACCATAATACAAGAAATAATAAACAGTATACTCAAACCCCACCAAAATTTCTAGTACAGCATCATTCTTTCTTCTTTGAGAACTGATCTACCAACCTCTAACCTCAGGAAACTGGCAAGCAGTAATAATCCTGTGAATGGGCAGAGAAGCATTTACTCAAAGGTTGAAACACTGTTCTTCCTCCAAGGTATCAGAGGGTCTATCAGGAGGCTGACAGTGCCAAAATAGATGGGCCCACAAAAATCCTGAGCTGTCTTCTCATTTACCTCTCTGCACATAATTTTGATTCCTTTGCCTATGCCAGATGTTCAAACAGGTTTTCAAAAGGCTTGTACTTATAAAGGGTGAAACTGAAGCTAATATTATCAAAGGGTATCCCAGAGTGAACACCATTTTTACAACACTTCATGAGGCTAATCAAGTCAGCAGGTAAACTGGTACTTTTAAATATTCATTTGTGAATAATTATGCAATATGATGTCAAAATTTGGACACTGCATTACTTGTAATGAATTATGACTACTTCAGCTACCAGGCTCATCTTGGTCAGCTGTACTGACATTACCACTGACACTATCACCATGGAAGGGAAGAAGGTGAATATACAACCCCCACCCCCCTCCGTTCTGGCCTGTGGACAAGGAACTCTAATAGTTCACCATTCTGAAATCCTTTTGGCAGGTCTGTTAGTGCCCAGTATTTTGAAAAAGTAACCAACTTAAAAATAAGTTTTATAGCTAAATACATTTTTCTAACATCTATATACAACAATAACGAAGTGCAAGATACTTCTATCATCTTGTTAGTTTAGGTAGTAGCTTACGGTATAAGTTTCTTCTTACCATTGAGAAGCCAATACAGTAAAAACATCACTGATTTCAGGTTCTTGGAATAGTTTCAGAAGTTCTGGATCACATGACAGGTGTGCAAGGATTCTTAGTTCAATTTGGGAAAAATCTAGCAAATAAAATTTATAGGTAATCACCCTGAAAGTAAGTAAATCATACCATAATGAATATGGACTGGAGACTAGTTAAAATCTCATACATATGCTACATCATCACATATCTCCATTACCCTTACAAGACGAATATATAACTTTGTAAGTATTATTGTTTATTTTGCCATTTTTAATTTTGTGGCCATTATGCTCTCTCTAGTGTACACATGAATCCAAATAATGCAGTCCAAAGATTTAAAACAAAGAGAACTTTATCATCAGGGAGGGAAAGACAGACGCAGAATAAGTGTGGGATAAAACAACACTTATAAGGTGAAACTTCTGCCCCTAGGATGACATGGATATTGGTCTAACATTAGTCTTTCTCTCTCTGTTGCTAGTGGCTGTGTTGTACAGCACCAGCACAGCACAACTGAATCCCTCAAGTAAGCCTGGGCTATCTACAGTTTCAGCCCAAGCTCTCTTGCACTGCTTGCAGCTAGAGAGGAATCACCAAACAGCTTTCAATTAATAAGCTCCATATATTTTTTTCCATCATCACCACCAGGTGTCAGTTAATGGAATCCTTACTCTATAGAGTCTCTCAGGTTTGTGTTTTGTTCTCTGTGTATAAGCTACATGGAATAAAAAAAAATACAGTAAAGAGTATGTAAGAAAGTGCAGTGAGCACCTTGATACTCCAGAACTAAAAATTTCAGCGCAGCCTTCTAATATTTTGATCTTACCAGGAAGGAGTATTTTTATAGTTGCTGTCACACCGATTTCCTGAACTTCCTAAATACTAATTCTCTTTCATTGAATAAAATGCAATAACTTTAATAAAATACATGAAAATGCTACACGTGTCTTTGTGCTAAATCCAAATTTCCATCAGAGTGCTGGTTGATATGAGCATAACTACCTGAAGAAGGAGGGCCCTCAGAATTGAAGAAGAGTAGATTGAAGTTAGCAACTGCTTTCAGGTAAGGTTCTTTGGGTAAATGTGATATCTTTTATTAGACCAACTAAATAGTTGGAAAAATTGTTCTTTGCAAGCTTTCAGATACAAACACCCTTCTTCAACCACTTTCAAGCACTCCAAGGTGAAACTTGTGGAATAGGCAGGGAAGACGACATCCGCAGGCATGAGGCTGAGAAGGCAGCAGCCTAGAGAGCAGGAAATGCAAGGCCCCAAGGACATGGGCTCTATAACCACTACATCAAGAAGGAAGAGAAGAGTGGTGGTAATTGGTGACTCCCTTCTGTGGGGGACAGGGGCACCAATTTGTTGTCCAGATTTGGGGGCCCAAGAGGACATCACAGAGAGATGGCCGACGCTCATGGATCCTTTCAATTACTACTCCTGTCTGCTCATCCTGTAGGCACCAATGATACTGCCAGGAATGACACTGAGCAGATCAGAGGTGACTATCAGGTTCTTGGCAGGAGGATGAAGGAGCTTGGAGCACAAGTGATGTTCTAATCAATTCTTCCCAAGGAAGGCAAGGGTCCAGGCTGAGACCATTAAATCCTGGAAGTGAACACGTGGATGAGACAGTGGTGTCAATGGGAAGGCTTCAGCTTCTTTGACAATGGGTGAATTTTCTTGGGTGGAATACTGCTCTCAAGAAAAAGGATCCATCTGATGAGAATGGGAAGATGCATCTTTGGCTAACTTAGGGCTTTAAACTAGGTTCCACAAGGGATAGTGATCAAAATTCTCCAACAATAGAGCACAGAGTCCATAGGGAAGGATTAAAAGAAGCAACTTAACTCTGGGAAAGGGCCAGAGAGCTGCAGGACTGCATGCAAAAGGAAGTGGAATAGGACAAAATGCAAAACATGTCCGATGCATGTATACAAATATGAAAAGTATAGAGAGTAAACAACATGAGCTAGAAGTTGCAACCTGTGAAATGAACTATGATCTGACTGGGATCACAGAGACCTGGTAAAACAGCTCTTATGACTGGAATGTCAACATTGAGGTTTGCACACTGTTTCAGAAGAACAGGGCTGGGAGCAAAGGTGATGGTGTTGCCTCGAATGTCAAAAACACATATGCTTGTTCCCTGGCTCAGGAACAAGACAGCAAAGCAAAATGCATTTGTGTGAAGATGAAAAGTGAAAGATGTGGCACCAATGTAATGATGAGGATTTACAGGCTACCAAATCAGGAAGAGCAGGTGGATGTGCCATGTTCAAGCAGGTGATAAATCTATCCAAAAGTTATGGGATGGTATTGATGGGAGACTTCATTTTCGTAGACACCTGCTGGAAGAACAGGGCAGCCAAAAAATTATCGAGGTGGTTCCTAAACTTGTGTGGAGGACAACTTCCTGTTCCAGAAGGTGCAGAATACAACTAGGGAATCATCTATTTTAGATCTTACCCTGACAAAAAGGGAAGAGCTTTTAGATGATGTAAAGGTGATGGGTAACTTGGGAGGAACCAATCATGAGATGATAGAATTCCAGATACTGACAGGCAAAGCATGAGGTCAGCAAAATTAGGATGCCAGATTTCATACGACTTGAGTTAATACGCATGGTGCCATGGGAAGACAGACTGAAGAATAAAGGCACCCAGGAAGACTGGGAACTTCTAAATGGCAAAATATTGGATGCCCAACAAGAAACTGTCCCAATATGATAGAAGCACAAGAAGAATGGCAAGAGAGCAATATGGTTGCATGAGAATCTTCTAAAATGCCTCAAATGCAAAAGGAAAACATACAAGCAATGGAATAATAGACAGGTCATCAAGGAAGCATACCAGGAAATAGCAAGAACTTCTCGGGACAAAATCAGGAAGGCAAAGATAAAGAACATGCTGTACTTGTTGAAGTAGGTTAAGGACAACAAGAAGAGGTTTTACTAGCATGTTGGACAGGAAAGAAGGACCAAGGAAGCTGTAGGTCCTCTGTTATCAAGTCAAGGGGAACTCCTAACCAAAGATACAAAAAAAAGGCAGAGCTACTCAACAGATACTTTGCTTCAGTTTTCACAAAAAAATTAAGTTGAAGCCAGACACCTAATAAGGATTATCTGGATAAGGAAAGGGGCAAGCTGAAAGAGAAGATAACAAGACAGACTGTCACTTTTGATAGGTCTGAATAAATTAAAGTCAGCAGGGCCGGATGAACTTCATCCCAGGGTACTGAAGTAACTGGCAGAGGAGCCTTGGCAATGATCTTTAAGAAGTTATGGGAGATGGGCCCATTACTAGAGGACTAGAAAAGGGCCAACGCAGTGCCCGTTTAAAAAAAAGACAAGGAGGAGGACCCAGGGAACTACAGACTTGTTAGCCCACCAAAGTACCTGGGAAGTTATTGGAACATACCCTAAGGAGGCCACTTGCAAGCATCTGGAGGCAGAAAAGTTGTTCATAAACAGCTAGTATGGATTAATCAAAAACAAGTGTCAAACAAATTTGATCTCCTTCTTTGATAAAATAACTACTTGGGTGGATGAAGAACATGTTGTGAATATAGTGCATCTGGACTTCAGCTAGGTTTTTGACAAGGTCCCACACAATCTCTTAATAAACAAATTGGAGAAACATGGGCTTGATGAAATTACAACACGGTTGATAGAAAACTGTCTCAGTACCCACAAGCAAAGGGTAACTATTAATGGGTCCATGTCAGAATAGCATGAGGCTTCAAGTAGAGTCCCACAAGGGTCTGTCATGGGCCTGGTACTATTCAATCTGTTTATTAACTATTTAGAGAAAGCTTCTTGAGCAAGTTTGCAGCTGATACAAAACTGGGAAGGACTGTGAACATATTGAAGAATGCAAATGCAATTAGAAGGATCTCAACAGATTGGAAAGCTGGGCTAGAGCTAATAGGTTGAAGTTCAATGTGTGTTACACCTTGGGAGGAATAATCAAAAAGACAAATATAAAATGGATAACATCTGGCTGGATGGCAGCTCTATGGAAAAGGACTTGAGAGTCTTGGTAGATCACAGACTCAATGTGAGACTGCAGTGTCATGCAGCCACACAAAAGATGAATGTGGTTCTGGGATGCATCAATAGAAGTATTAGGTGCAAGACACAGGAAGTGATAGCGCCTGTCTATTCAGCACTGGTTAGGCCTCATCTGGAGTACTGTGTGCAGATCTGACCTCCATTATTAAAAAGGATGTGAAGAACTTGGACAAGGTCCAGAGGCAGGCAGCAAAGATGGTAAAAGGCTTGGAAAACAAGTTATAGGAGAAAAGGCTGAAGGAGCTAGGCATGTTCAGCTTGCAGAAAAGACTCTTAAGAGAGGACATGATAGCAGTCTTCAAATACTTGATGAGCTACCATAAAGAGGGAAAGCAACTTTTCCCTCTTGCTGCAGAGAGAATGTGGACCAATGGCTTGAAGTTGTAGCAAAATAAGTTTAGATTGGAGATCCAGAAAAAATTCTTCACTGTGAGAATAGTGAAACAGTGGAATAGAAAGAAGCACTGGGTGTCAACTACAGCCAAGGTTGGGGACTTCAACTGAGGTGTACTGATTCGTCTGCAAAGCCAGAGGGTCTTGGCTAAAGGGTCCTGCCCCTCTCTTCAGGGTCAGACCAATCACCATATTTGGGGTCAGGAAGAAATATATTCTTTATATTTTCACTTACCCCATGGTCAGATGGGTACGGACTGGGTGTTTTTGCTTCCTCTCTAGCAGGGGGTGTGGCCCTCTACCCAGGATGTCTTGAACATATACTGACAACATTTCATAGAAACAGGATGTTGGCTGCTGTGGTTCCCCTGCTTTACTTGTAGCAGGTTAGGGTGTCAGGTCTATGTTGCGTCAGGGTTAAAGGCAGTCTCATTTAAACTATGGAGTGTATGGAATGGTTTGGATAAGGATGATGCTGCCTCAGGCAGGGGGTTGGACTAGATGACTTCTGGAGGTCCTTTCCAGCCCTATTTCTCTCTGATTCTATAATTATTAAAACTGTTTTTGTGACTCAGAAATGACGCTGTATGCAACAACTAGTAATTCTCAAACTCTTACGACTCAACCAAATAAAAATCAGTTACCAGAAACTAAAAGTTATTTTCCCATATTTTTTAATTCCTGGCCATTTCTGTACTAGTATATAAATAAAAAGCAGTTATTGTGTAAAAGAAAAAAAAGTGCATTTTCCAGTGTACAATTCTGTTCAAATTTGTTTTGTATACAAACCAAACTTTTGCACGAATGGTGAAAGTTTCAGAATATTATTACCAAACTTAAATTCACTAATGAGCACTGTTCCATGCAGTTAGCCACCTAATTAACTGTAAACATTTCTTATCCTCTTCACAGAAGAAACTGAAGAAATTAGAGGTCTGAGACAAATGAAAGTATAACAAACCCTGTAATGATGTTCATCTACATTTTCTTTAATGGAATTCCAAGCAAGCTGCCCCAAAAAATTCCTTAAGGTATCTGAGCAGTAGCTGGCTAATTATCCATGAAACTGCCTGCTATGCTTCATGGCTGGTGAACCACCAGTATGTCTATCCTGTAGTCTCCAGACTGCAACTCAGGCAGACACATAGGTGTACACAAGCAAGCACATGACAGAGCAGTATAGCTGTAGCAGTTTGAAGATTAGTGCAAGCTAAGTGTCCAAGTATCTGAACAGCTACTTGGGCAAGGCTGCAGCCTATGCCAAGCTCCATCTTGTCACAGTTACACTGTTATTGATACCTTTAACTCACAGCAGCTTATATATTCCTACACAAGCTATAGTCATGCATATAGATATACTCTTGGTGAAGAATCCCTGGGCTTCAAAATATCGGAGATCATTAAGGCTTTCCTCAAAGCAAGCCAGCTATGCCAGAATGTAGCAGTCTAACCGTTCCTGAAGATATATCTATACATAACATCAATAACTGGCCAGTGTCTAATCTAGGTTTTCATGGCAAATTTAGTAAAGATGCAGTGGCATTTAAGAGACAACCAGAAGCAGAGATCATAGGACTCTAGCTATTAATAATAAATAATAGCAATAATGAGGATTATCTTACCTGCTGCTAGAAATGTATATCCTTTGGCAGAAACAAACATGGCCCTTGGGGAAATAGTTACTATCTCACTGTCTTTTCCTAGAGAAAAAGATAGGAAAAACCATATACTGTATCACAGAAACAAAACAAGATGTAAAATATCCTTTGTTGTAAAATAGGTAAGATTGCTAAACATGCCATACTTGGACAGAACCATAAAAAAGTATATCAGAAACTGAACAACTCAGCCTTCTGTTCAACGGCTCACATGTTATCACCACCACAACTACCGTAGACAACAAATCATATTCACCAACCTTCACTTTAGCCAATAGAGATGTCAATCCTTCCTCACCTCTTCTACCAAACCAGTTCTTCCAAAAACACTAGAGTACCTCACCGAACATCCATGGGTAGTAATGTTACTTTATGTCACTCAGTAAAGAGGCATATGTAGAAGGGAATGCTAAGGTAAAGTGATTTTTTAAATTACATTTTATTTTTGTGTTAAACACAGAAGTAAATTTTGAGAACATGCAGCTGCTTTGAACATCCAAATACTAGTGCCTGAAGTCCAAAAGGTAAAGGAAGTGTGACAAATAACTATGAAATAATGAAGTGCTACTGAATGTATAATTGGAATCCTAATTTTGGTACAAAAAAGGTTGCTTGAAGCGTAGCATATTTTCTTTCCTACTCATTGTTACTAACTGGTTGGAAAGGAGGAAAATACAACATCTGGAGAAGTTTGCAAAAGAGAACTTGAAAATATGGTTTTGAAAAGGGCCCATGATTCATGAATCATTTGGCCAGCTTGATGTTAAACTTGCCTAGTTATAAAGCAATAAACTTCCAAAATAGTTTGAACTGGAGTAAACTGCTCCCGGGCACAGTATCTACACATGCTCCTGGGACAGCATCAATTTGAGCCAGGGCAGAGCAGGCTCCCGGAGGCTTACTGGGCAAACCGGGCACAATTTATGTCCACAGTCAAGATCTATGCATGCGTTTCAGTGCAGCAAATTACTCTGCCATAAGATAGTACTGTCCCACACAATACTATGTGACACCAGAGTTAATTAGTTTACTGCAACTTAATACCAGCTCACGTGTAGATGGTGACACTTTACTGTGGAGCTAATTAATCTACTCTGCAGTAAGGCATGCATGTAGATACATGCATCACGTAGCACATGATCCACCTACGTCCACTTTTTTTTACATTATGAAATAGTTAAGAACAAGACAGAATAAAAGCAAATTGCCCTGAGAGTTCTTTCTTCTGCCAAATAGAAACTTATATTAAGATTTTTGTTATTTGAAAATCTGTTCTCTCTTTATATTTTCACTTAGTGTATAGTTCAATAGAAGGAAGTAAGTGATTTTCTCCCTCTCAGGAAAGGTGGCCCCATTATGCAAAGGTCCACTCCATTTAAGAGCAACAGAACAGCAGGAGCCCAACAACGTGGTCCTAAGCAGCTACTTGTAGGGTCCAGCCCTCTGCCTATCACTTGGGCCATGCTTTTGTAGGACATGCTAGAATTGTGTGTGCTATCTTTGCTTGAACCTAGCTCCCTTATCAAATAAAACACCTGTCTGACTACTATCCAAAGGAAAAGTGTGTCTTTGGCTGCTAGTCTGACCTGCATGATCTAGCAAAGACATCCCCTTGAGAAGTTTTCTGAAATGAAGACACAAAGAATACTTCCTAAGTTTTCTTATTACAGTAAGGCAGGGTAACTTCATTTGGTTACAGCTATGCAAGTTTGCAATTGGGGAAAAAGACCACAAGTTAGGGACAAGAAAACACCTTAGTGGTACAGAACATCAACTTCATGAGCTTGCTTACATAGATCAATAAAGAGGCAACAACCTCCTTGGAAGGAGCAGCCAGAAGAAAGCAGATTAGTTTAAAAGACAACATTATAAACAATGCAGTGAGAATCTACTCTTTCAGAATCTCTGAGATATGGTTCTGTTTTAAAATAAAAACATTTCATTTAGTAAAATGTTTTGATAAATATGTCTTAGCATTTTATGAAGCTACATAAATAAAAACATAGCTGATGTACCTTTTATGTTTTGCTTCTTCATAATTTGAATGGCATGCTTGGAGATGCCTTGAATATTCTGTAAATTAAGAGTAAATATTTATAGCAACTAAAAATGCTTTTTTAAAGTTTAATTTAGGAAAACAAAAATATATTTGTTATAAACCATTAGCATGTGTGTGTCACATATTCACTGATACTAGCAATATCACCTGTTAATCTGAGCATAGAGTGCTGCTACTATCCTGTGACTGCACAAGCCACGTGCAGTTCCTTGCCCTTCTTTACCATAAACTCTCCAATCAAATCAGACTGGATTGCTGATTAAGTCATGTTATTTGTAAAGATGGGACTCAAGTGAAAACCTTAGAAGTCTCAAGAAATTGTAAAACAGTTGTCTGAAGTTTGGGGAGTATGACCGAATGATATAGGGGAAAAAAAGATTCTCCTTGAACATAATTTGTGGATGCATCATATAATATAATCAGTAAGCAATTTTATGTTTTAACCTGCCTTATTTAAAATATAATTTTCAGAAGCAGTAACACCAAACAAGCTGATTTCAATTAGACAGTGTGTGCAATTCATATTCCTTTGGCTGGGATGATTTAGTTGGGGCTGGTCCTGCTCTGAGAGGGGGTTGAACTAGATGCGACCTCCTGAGGTCCCTTCCAACACTCATTTTCTAAGAGTCTATGATTCCTACACTAAGCTAGAGGCATAGATTCTTCTGCAGCTTCCATTAGTTTGTCCCAGATTCTACAGCTGCATTTTTTAATGTATAAAAAAAAAATATATTAAGGGTTGTTTAATAGGTTTATGAAATCCACCAAGATAAGAAGTTGAGAAGTATCTGGTCTTATCAGTGGAGAACACAATGTAAACCTAGGTATAACCAGCAGCTAATAGACTACCTTTTATTTCCGGAGATACAGGCTCATAGGAATGATTGCATCCAGTAACATATCTGTCAGCAAAGTGCAAAACGTGCCACCCATGATAACTTCTTGCTATTTTGTGTCATTGCACACTATCATCTAGACAGAAAGCATACACTAACTTGTAATTTGTAACATCTAGCATGTGGTAACATGTGTCAGCTTCAGTTGTTATAATTTCAGATAACTTATCTGAAAGTAGTGAGAAGAACATACCAAAATTACATAATGTTTGTGGATTTGAGAATACCAGGAATGTGCATTTTTAAAATGAGAAATGTCACTATGTAGTTTAAAATTCACAACCACGCAAACTAAAGAGTAAATTAAATTAAAATTATAATAACGGAAACAGACAAAAAGGAAAACTAATCCTGGTCTTCCTCAATATCACTGCTAACATGATGATTTCAGAGGTTCGTGTACTGCAAAAAAGTGGCTATAGCCTCCCTGGGATGACTCTGAAGAGCCCCTAAATTTACATATTCAGTACCATACTGCAAGCATGTTATGTTATTCTAGGTGCGTCAACAAGTGCACTTTAACGCGCATTTGCTTATTTTAATGTGCATTAAAACATCACTACAAAAACCATAGGCATCTTTACACATGCTCCAGGGGTAAGGAAAGGCTTTTAATTAGAGCTGCTCTGAGAGCAATTTTAATTAAAGCGCCCGCAGTGTCTTGTGTATGCAGTACCCTGTACTTCAAAATGGCAATGGGGGTTCTTTAACTAAAGGTCATTTGACACCCCCACCACTAATTTGAAGCATGGGGACACCAAATACACAAGACACTGAGGCTGCTGGAGTGTGCTAATTAGCACGCTCCAGCAGACTCGATTAATTCACTGTAATTATCACGTCACAGCAGCATCCCCGCATGTCAACAGGGACCCCATGCTATTTAGCTAATGCATATTTCCATAGGCTAACGCACATTACGCATCACTTAAAAACCATGCTCTTTAGTTAATGTGCATTTTCCTAGTACCTCAGGACATTTTTAGTCTATTTAATGTGCATTAAAGTGTCACTAAAAAAATCATAGGTATCTATAAAAATGCTCTGAGGGTGAGGGGGGTAGCACTTTAAATTAGAGCGGCTCTAAGAGCCACTTTAATTAAAATGCTGCAGTGTCTTGTGTATCAGCATCTCCATGCTTCAAAATCATGGTGGAGGTGCTTGAACTAAAACTCTTTAAACAAGCTTCAGTTCAAGTGCCCCCTACCACCATTTTGAAGAATGGGGACACTGATAACCAAGACACAGGAGACTGTTGGAGCATGGCGATTGTTTAATCAAGTCTGCTCTGACGCACTGTAATTACAGAGCATTGAAGCAGTCTCCACACTCATATACAGGAACCCTCATAATGGGGGTAATCAAGTTAACGCACATCAACTAAAGCACATTAATGCACATGTAGATGCGTCCTCCGAGATGCAATTATTATGCCCTAATGTGGGATAAGGGTAGCTACAAAAGCAGGGCTTGAACTCACATGTCTGGGCTGTAGTAGCAAGATGCCTCTGCTACTACAGCCTATACAACTTGTAAATCTGTGTAAAATTGCACTACAGTAAGAAATGACATGTAGTTATCACCCAATCATACTGGTTTAATACTTTCACAGTCATGTATGACTGGTGCCTCCCATGACTGGGGTGTGGGGGGCATGGCAGTGAGCGGCAAGTGGGGACCACTCGCAGCCGCTGCCTGCGTTGTCAGTGGCAGTTGGTGGGGACCGCCCACAGCCGCTGGTGGCTGCATTGGCAGTGAGGGAGGGGGCGGCAACTGCCACAGAAGCCAGTGGCAGCAAATCTCAGGGGGGGCATGTGTCCCCCCATGCCCTCCCTACGCATCACCTATGTTCACAGGAGGCATTCATAAACTGCTTTGCTGGAAGTTAGTGAGAAGTCAAGTATCCCAGCCTCTCTTGTAGTCCTGCTTTCCCAACAATTTATTTGGCAGAAATCAGAAATTTCTTTGTGGCAGGCAGGGGGCAGGAAATAGAGGTGAAGCAGGGAACAATAGCAAGCTGGAAACTGGCAAACTCCAACTGCCTTCTGTCTGAGGCCAACCAGTTCACCATGGATAGATCCACTGCTGGATCTACTATCCAGAAGTATACACAACCATCACAAAAATCTTT